AACTGAGACCGACAGCGGTTTATTTGAATGCATTAAACGAGGGGCTCTTATTGTGAAATATGTCCGTTACCTTTGCTAGTTACGGACTGATATTAGACTAATCGATCGGTTGAAGAGAAACTCGATGTATAAAAGTTGATAGATGAAATAATAACTGTATATAAACGAATATTATTTTACAACAAGAAAGAGAAACATAGCTTCTACAGGTTGTTTAACCCAAAAACTTTATTTGACCTCATTATACACATTTTTGTTGGAATCAATCAATCATCAATTCTTATCAATAACAACACAAAGACCCAAAAAAAACTAGATAAGCAATATAAATAAAGACGTCCCATACATACGTAAAAACGCTCTGATATTACTCAACACAGTTTTTATTTTATTTTATCCACATCAGCGTAATACAGTGTCAGCTGAAGAAGTGTAAATGAGGTTATTCTAACAAAGGAAGTGGTGTCTCTCTTAACAGCAGCTGTTCCTGTTCAACTATGATATATAAATATAAACAAACAAAGAAATGTCAACAATAATTCTCTATGTCATGAAGACCAGGGTGTCTGCAGGGTTTTAACAACAATACAATCAGAATTTTAGTCCTTAAAATGTCTTAAGTGTGATTGGATGATGAAGTCAATGATATTTGTACAAAGTTGAAATTTCAGTCTCACTTTTAGATGTTTTTGGTGGAAAATGTGTATTGATGATGCTGTAACAATGTCACAATGAACCAATACATATCCATAGTACTTTATTGGCAGTGTGGACATGAAATAGGTTTTGAATTGCAAACATAATGATCTTAAAACCTGCAGAAACACTGATAGTGACTGAAGTTGCAGCTGTAAATCCACTAACATCAGGTACATTTTAATGGTGTTATTCTGGCTGTAAAACAACTTTTCCTTTGATTTTTAAAGACAGACATCATTTTTCTGAATCCTTTAAATCATTTATTGCGGTAGCTGTAGATTCTGTAAATTAGTGCTGCACAGTTCATTAAATATATGTAGAAATCACAGTAGTTCTGCAGAGATGTCCCGAGCTACAAAGCTCGTTCTTACAGACCATGTAACCATTCCCACTAACTGAACACCAACAGATTTTACAATTGCAATAAGATTAAATACACAATCAGATGTTTCAGCCACATCATGCAGCTCTAGAATGAATGCAACTCAAAGTAGTGATGATTTATTGTGTGTTTGATGGTTGCAGGAGGACTGCTGCTGAGGCTCTGTGGGAACTATGGAAGAGTCTTTCCAGTCTTACTGTTGACTATAAATGTAACTGAATCCTATAAATGTTTATTATTATTGTATGATTTTTACTTTCTCATGTTAAGACTTTAATTTGTCTCACACTTGTAGATCTGCAGCGTCAGTGGAGGACATCATCTCCTCTGGTAGGATATTTTTCTATTTGGCAGAAAACATTTGCACAGAAGTAAAGTTTATACTTTATCTGGACTGAGACATCTTTGGAAATGTATTTTGTTTGTTGTTGGGTCACTGGTTCATTGTTGTATTTATTGTTCATGTTGCTGAAGGGAAACCTGAAAGTTTGAAGATTCAAACCTTCCACCTCAAGTATCAACATCAGCAGATTATCTCACTGAACTATTTCTACTACTACTGTCTCTTTTTTTTAAAAGCACTAACAGCTGTGACGTCCATAAATGTTACACCTGAGACACAAAGAGCTCCATTAGAGCTCATATAACCCCCCAGGTTGTAGCAGGAATAGCTCAGCAAGATAAGCAGCTGGTGGTGTTGATACCTGAGGTTGAGGGTTCAAATCCAAGCTCCTGTGTGTGAGACTTTTAAAGGTTTCTCCTCAGTAATGTGAACAATAAATACAACTACGAAGCAGCAAACCAGCAGCCTGAGGTGTAGCTCAGTGAGATAAGGTGCTGCTAAAGGATGATCCAACGTTACATTTTGTGGGTTCTCTCCTCAAAGAGGTCAAGAAAAGTAACAACTAACGTGGACTCTACTGTGTGTCAGTGGACTCTACTGTGTGTCAGTGGTACACTGTGTGTGTCAGTGAATAAGCAAATGATTGGATGTGGGTTGGAGCCTCACTCAACTGTGAATTATGAAGTCCAATGTTCAAAGAAACAAGTGAAAAGCTGTTAGAAATATAGATAAAGTGTCTCAGATCAAACAGTGCTGAGGGTTAGAAGAATGGTCAGGAGACCAGAGGTTGTGTGTTCGATTCTCTTATGAGGCTCAGTGTGTTTTGTGCTCCAGCGGCCAAAGTAAAAAGATAAAAGCGCCCGGAGAAGATGTTCTAGTGTGAAGGGAGCATGGTGGCGCAGTGTGCGTGGGAGCGGCCAGAATGCAGAAGTGTCTGGTTTGAGGCTCGCTCGGTGCCCGGTTCCTGGAGCCTCACCCCGCTGCAGAGGGAGAGGAGGGGGCCGTGTCCCCTCCCGGGTTTCCAGAGAGGTAAAAGCAGGGGGTTATGGATTTTAAAATCATTTTATTGAATATTAACATGTGTAACACCCCGCAGTCTTCTTTGTGGAAAACGTCTACTGGTCCCAACTTCATCAGCCGCTCACTGAGAGAGAGAGATATAAAAGTTAGTACAGGTACCAAGATATCATCCAGTACACAACACTACTATATTACATTGGACACTACTGTATTATATTAAATTAAATTTAATTACATCTAATTAAATTAAACACTATTATATTATATTATATTATAGTATATTATAGTATATTAAATTAAATTAGACACTGCTATATTGATTACATTAAATTAGACTATTATATTAAATTAAATCAAACACTACTATATTATATTAAATTAAATTTGACTATTATATTATATTAGATCCTACTATATTATATTAAATTATATATTATATTATATTTTATTAAATTAAATTAAATTACATTAGACACTAATATATAATATTATATTATATATTAGATTATATTGAATTAGACACCACTATATTATATTATATTATATTATATTAAATTAGACATTATATTATATTAAATTAAATGATATTAAATTAGACACTACTATATTATATTATATTAAATTAAATCACAATAGACACTACTATATTATTATATTATATATTATATTAAATTAGACACCACTATATTATATTATATCATATTAAATTAAATTAGACACCATTATATTATATTAAATTAAATTATATTAAATTAGACACTACTATATTATATTATATTAAATTAAATTAAATTAAATCACAATAGACACTACTATATTATTATATTATATAATATATTAAATTAGATACTACTATATTATATTAAATTAAATTAGACACTATTAAATTAAATTTAATTAGACATTACTATATTATATTATATTAAATTAAATTAGACACTATTATATTATATTACATTAAATTATATTAAATTAGACACTACTATATTATATTATATTAAATTAGACACTATTATATTATATTAAATTATATTAAATTAGACACTACTATATTAAATTCAATTAGACACTATTATATCATTAAATTAGACACTACTATATTATATTATATTATATTAAACACTACTATTTTATATTATATTATGTTATATCATATTAAATTAAATTAGACACTATTATATTATATTAAATTAAATGATATTAAATTAGACACTACTATATTATATTATATTAAATTAAACACTGCTATTTTATATTATATTAAATTAAATTAGACACTATTATATTAAATTAAATTATATTAGACACTATTTTATTATATTAAATTATATTAAATTAAATTAGACACTATTATATTATATTAAATTAAATTAAACACTATTATATTGAAATTAAATTGAATTAAATTAGACATTATATTATATTAAATTAAATTATATTAAATTAGACACTACTATATTATATTAAATTAAATTAAATTAAATTAGACACTATTATATCATATTAAATTAAATTAGACACTACTATATTATATTATATTATATTAAACACTACTATTTTATATTATATTATGTTATATTATATCATATTAAATTAAATTAGACACTATTAAATTAAATTAAATTAAATCAAGATACATACCACAGTGTGTGTGAGAGTCTGGGGCTCTGGATGGGAGCGATGGGATTTTGGGTACAGGAGCCTGAAGGTCCAGATCATTTCTGTGAAAACAACCAAATGAAAGAGTTATTTTTAAAGTTTAGATGAATATGTATTATATAAGAGTTAAAACAATCCAATATGTGTAATTTACATACAGTCAATAGATCCACAACAGTTAGTGTTTAATCCGTTAGTGATGTGAGACAATGACAGGAATGTGAATAATAACAGAAACTCTGGAAAGTGAACTTACTTGAAGACTCTTGTGTGTTTCCTGCAGACCGTGTCAACAGCAGTCCTCCTGTAACTCTGGACATCAGCCTTCAACCTGGAAGAAATTAACATTTTAAAAGATTGTCAGACAATTGTCAAACCAGAGAAAGATCAACTTTTAGATGTAGGGTGAATCTTTAAAGTATCCTACCAGAGGAGATGATGTCCTCCACTGACGCTGCAGATCTACGAGTGTGAGACAAATTAAAGTCTTAACAACACAGCTGACAGAGAAAGTAAAAATCATACAACAATAATAAACATTTATAGGATTGAGTTACATTTCTAATCAACCTGAAGACTCTTCCATAGTTCCCACAGAGCCTCAGCAGCAGTCCTCCTGCAACCATCAAACACACAATAAAGTCTAATTATTGACAGAGCAACAAACAAACCATCAATATATCCAAAGATCCAGAAACAGACACAATGTTAGTCTTTGTTGTTCGAGAGGCTGTTCGCTTGTCGCTTTCACTGAACGCTCATCAACAGGTGGCGTTGATTTCCTCTGACAATAACAACAAGAAAACAACAACAACAACAACAACTATTCTCACAATAAGCTCTCATTTTTACCTTAATGTAACTCGAGTGAATCTAAACGATTGTTTGTTTGTTTATAGTCACCAACTGTGAAGACGTTAGCGACCCTGTTTGTTTGTTTGTGTTTGTTTGTGTTTGTTTGTGTGGCCGTTCAGCCTCTGACTGACCTTCTAACTCACAACAAACTCCAGTTCTTCGTCTTATGTCCTCTTTTCTTCTTCCTCTCGTCCTCCAAACGTCTCCATGAAGCAGATATTCCCAGTATTCCCTCTCTAGTCCACAATGACTCTCCACCAGGGAACAGACTCTCCACCGGGCTGCTCAGGCGAACTGACGCCATGACGGAAAGTTCGCGGTCGCTCCGGATACTTGAACCTGTTTCATGAAGACGTTTGGAGGACGAGAGGAAGAAGGAGAGACAATAAAAGAAGGAACTGGAGTTTCCTGTGAGTTATAAGGTCAGTCAGAGGCGGAACAGCCCCACAAACAAACAAACAAACACAAACAAACAAACACAGGGTCGCCGCGTCTGTAGTTAACGACGTCAGCTAGCGAACACATATGCTAACAGTTGTTGACTATAAACAAACAAACAAACATCGGTCAAACTCCTGAGAATGAACATTACCTCTTAAACAGTCGTTGTTGTTGTTTTCTTGTTGTTATTGTCAGAGGAAATCAACGCCACCTGTTGATGAGCGTTCAGTGAAAGCGACAAGCGAACAGCCTCTCGAACAACAAAGACTAACATTGTGATAATGAAGCTGCTGGTAGTTCAATGGCTGCTGTTTGTTTGTTTGTTTGTTGTTTCCTCGCTGTGTGAGAATATCAGAGATCGATTAAGGTCATTATCCACTGTCATTGTCTCACTAACTGATCAAACAGTGTAACGTTGCTCTTGTGGAGCAGTACCGGCAGTAACACTGAAACCGAGCCAGCTGTGTGTGATTGACCTATATTGGATCCAATACGATCTGCTGCCACTAGAGGGTCTGATTATTATTGATTATTGTTATTCCAATAATTGTACAGATTCTAGACACCAACAGCTTTTCCTTCTTTGATTTGTAAAAACTGTATTAGGAATAAAATGTCACTATTTCTGTTTATGTTCTATTTCCCAAGGGAAGAAAACATGTAAAGATATTAAAATATACATGAATGTGAAAATAATTCAAAATGAAATGAAATGAAAGATAATCAAATAAAAATTGGGATGCAAAAATTATGATTCCCACTAACTGTTCCTATTGTTATTGTAAAATCTGTTATAGCCATAAAACGATATTGTGTGTTTGATGGTTGCAGGAGGAGCTGCTGAGGCTCTGTGGGAACTATAGAGGAGTCTTCAGGTTTGGTCCACTTTCTTGTTTATGTTGATTATAAATGTAACTGAATCCTATAAATGTTTGCTGCAGAATTTGTATTTTCACTGTCAGTAATCAACACAAAGCACCACTGACTGTGTGTCAGTCTTTAGGTTGTGGGTTTAATCCTCAGGTGATGCTGTTCAAGCTTTAAGGTTTTAATGCTGGATTGTGACAAAGAAGAAACAAAACTTAATTCATTTGAATTGTCTGACAATCAGTTGAAAGGGCCTGCAGGAAACACAGAAGAGTCTTCAGGTAACTCCACTAACCCTACCGTCGTCCACAGGGACTTTGGCTCAAGAGTGTTTGTGAACTACAGAAGAACTACATACAGTAAGTCCACAGTATATTTAGTTTCCATATCATTACTAGTAACCATTCATGAGTGAGACATTTAAAAGTCTTTATTTTTCTTTCAGAGATCCAAAATGCAAAAAAAAAGAATAAATAAAATAATTAAATAAATAACTGACTCCACTTGCTTTCTTGTCAAGAGTTATGAGTTATACGTGAACGTTTATCAATAATCAACAATAAGTTATTGAACTTATTTGATATTAACTTTATGTTAATTACATACAACATGTTCTACACAAACGTCTGTTCCTGAAATTTGTTTTACAAAAAAAAGTAATAAAAACATGTCTTTCAGCTACTTAAATATATATATATATATATATATATATATATATATATATATATTTATTTATAGGAATAAAAAACCCTGGAATAACAGGTTGAAAAACTTATTAGAAGTGTTAATATATCCAAAATAAATAATACTGGAGGGCACTCACTAAATAAGTAAGGTAATAACTTTAAATTAAATGAATAAGAATTTATTAATGTTGTTGTCCTACAGTACATACACAGTCTTACTGTTGATGTAAATATCAGTACAACGATATCTGGTTTTAGTATTAGTAAAATAAAAGCCTTCATTAAGAGAAGCCCAAATATGTAAAGTGAACGAATGAATAGGAGTCGACCATTGTGGACATCAGATCAACGCGTTAAAAAAAAGTTTATTTTCCCAAACAATGTTCCCAATGTCATCAAAAGTGTTTAACTTTAGGAGTTAGCAGGAGGACACACATTCATCTTGTTCATGTTAAACAAGGATAAATAAAGTTCTCAGTTAAAGCATTAGCTTAAAGTTTATTAATAAGATTAAATTAGAATAAAATTAAAATTAGTATCAGAAGAGA